GGCGCTGCGCACGTAATATCCTGCCTGTGCGTGACAACCTTCGTTCTAAACATGTTTGCATCGGTGGGGGTTGTCCTATCTGTGGTGCTATGACGGAAACAGTTGAGCATGTGTTCAGCTCTTGTGTTTTTGCGCAGGAGTTCTGGACAACTGTGGACCTTCTACAAGGACGAAGCATTTTTAGCTGGCTGGATTTTATAATTGGGCATTCGACTCAGGAGGATGCAGTGAAGCTAGTTGCTAGATTTTGGATTATTTGGCAAGCGCGTAACGAGGCTGTGTGGCAAAACAAGCCTCCGTCAGTGGGTACATCGCGTATGCTTATGGAGAGGTTACAGGCAACTTGGAAGGAGGCATATATTCATTCAAAAACGAGGATTAATGATCAGCGTCAATCTACAGTTTGGTTGACGCGGCCTTATCTGGGAACGATGCACATTATGGAGCTGTGTTATGCAATCATGATGGGCATTTTGTTGCAGCGCGATGTGGAAGGCTGAATGGGATGAAGGACCCATACGTGGCTGAGACTCTAGCTGCTAAAGAGGCTTTGTCTTGGCTGAAAACTCGACCAGAACGGAACATTATTTTTGAATCAGATTGTTTAAATTTTTGCAAGGCTTTCAATTCTTGTATTTCGGATTTTTCTTATGTTGGTTTAATTGTAAAGCAATGCGTGTCGATTGCTAAAGACATTGGGAACGTCAGTGTTTCCTATGTCAAGAGATCAGCGAATTGCGTGGCTCACGAACTTGCTCGGGCAACCGATTCTACGGCTGATTGTAGGGTGTGGACTAGTATCCCACCTGCTTGTATCTCAAATTTGTTGAGTCACTAATGAAGTTGGTTCGTTTTTGTTAAAAAAAAAAAAACTAATTGGTTTCCTCAGAAGAGGCGTGAAAGGAGGGCATTCGAAGACCCAAGTTCAGTGACTAGACCACAGCCAACAGTTGACGGTCGAGCCTCGCGATCACCACCCCCATTAGCAATCGGATAAGTCAGCAGCGAAGGAGCAGGGTTCATTGGCACCCCATCCCCTGCCACCATAGGCTGAGCCCCCCCGACACTAGAAGACCTTGACTCTGCATGTATGACCAAAGATCATCGGTGGCCGGAACTAGGGTTTCACAAGGGGGACGTCGAGCAGGATTTAGACCAAGGGAACAACTTGGCGCGACCACGTCGAGCCCATCACCACCCTCCCTTTGTTTGTTAGACTCCTCTGTTCGCCGGAAACCCGCCGACTGCACAACAAATCCCAGAAATTCCAGAGAGTTCCAATCGACAATCTGTGCAGTTGGAGTCGTTCTCGATACATCCTCAACGCTATCTACGACATCCGATCGTCCATGCAATGGCTCAATCGCCGGCAAAGCCTCCCTTGAAGAAACCTGGTCGGAATGCGAGAACCTTCGGACGTCAATATACGGTTGTCGACAACCACCGATTCAGATCCCCTGAAGGAAATTGGAGGTAAAATAAGAAATTTCTGTTGTTACGCTTTCACCGTCGAATTAATATTGACTCTATGGTCTAAATAATGAGATTCCTAAGTTTCTCAATTCCTGGGCAGATGAAGATTTTGTCAGTCATAGGGCATGAATTAGTTTTCAGAAATCTGTACGTGATGAGTATGACTTGTGAATTTTGATTAATATTAATACTAGAATTAATGCAGAATATCATTGAAGATATGATACAAATGATATGTTTGATGATTTGTTTTAGAAATATGGGAAGGTGGTCTATAGAAGAAATGAAACCAAATCAGCAAGTGAGGAGGTTGATGATGATGCTGAAAGCCTATATTGTAAGCTTCTCCCAGTTTTGATTGCGCAATATGGGATTTGTTGCGACAGTGCGACACATAGGAGGGATGAAATTGCTTGCAGAGCTACAGAGAGCGAAAACGTTCAAAAAACATAAAAAATAATAATAAAAAAATAAAAAAATAAAAAAATAAAAAGACACGTGTCAATTTGTGAAGAATTAACCGGCTAAACAGGTCAATTTGGACTTAATTGAACAATTTTACCGATTTAAGAGATATGAATGAATTTTTTTTACTTAAGGGACTTAATTGCACTATCTGATTGACTTAGGGGCCAATTTGACCATTTTTTCTTGTTTTAGTTTTTATGTTCATATTGGTACTTTGGATGTCACTATATTAGGATCAATTGCCTTAAATTTTTTATTTTTGTATTTTTAAAATTTTTATTTCTATTATAGAATCATTCATAAACAAACGTTAGTAATCATTCCAATTTCACCCTACTACCAAACATGCAAATGGTATGTTTGGTTCATGGGTTTAGGAATGGGAATCAAAGTCATTGTTATTGTTTGGTTGACAGGTTTCTAGAGCACTACTATTGGATTTGATTACTCCTTAATTAGAAAACTCATTCCCTAATAAAATAAAGGTTTCATTCAATTATACCCGTCCTAATTGGTAATTTGATTTTTAAGTTTGGATTAGTGCTTTTAAATTTTTATTTTTTTTCATATTGGCCCTTTGGATGTCTTATATTAGAATACTAGTTCTTTTACGCGCTTTGCGCGAATGGAATAATACCCAATGATTATTTTAAAATAATTATTTCAAAGTATATCAATGCAATATTATATCGGAGATATTCATGCATAGGTAAATAAATATTGAATTTGTTTATTTAAATCGGTAATTTAAAATATATAATTTCAAGATAATATATGAGAGATTGATTATATTGTCACTAAAATAAATGTTTGCAACTTTGTAATAACACTAGTCTAAATACTTAGTCTAAAAACGATAGTCTAAATAACTACTACTTTTTTTTTTTTGGTAGTGTATCATGTGCAATTGGGCTATTGGTGATAGTATAGATGGATTCATCGTGCAATGAGATTATGATGTAGGAAGCTTTAGATTTGTCTTATTGTGTATATGATGGGATCTTAGTTGTACTATTAACTATTTATCTTACAAGTACCTATTGATATAGGGTAGTGGTAGTTTTCCCCCTACATGTTTCATGTGTTATGAGATGTGTGTCGTAGGTTATCATGTGAAAGTATTGAACAAAATATTAATATTTATTATATTTGTATAAAATACTTGGTAAATAAATATATATAACATACTTTTTGTATTATAACTTTGATATTTAATTACCAGATAATCTAAAAAGAAAACAATGGACAATGTAGTGAATATAATAAATTAATAAATTTGAAGGTAATGAATTTTTGAATTGTAGAAAATAAAAATAATATAACTAATGAAATTATATCTCTTTTAAATTTTTTATAATGCATAATTTTTTAAAATAAACACATTATAGACATCTAATTCTAAATTAATTAAATGCATATATATTATTTTTTGTTGTAGCTACTAATTTATTTAATTTAATAAAAGTAATTATAAAGTGGCGTACATATTTTTCATCAACAATAATGAAATTATTGATTTTTTTTAATTTACATTCGTTGTTGAGACAATTGTTTTGAGAGTTTGTCAATGATAATTGTTACAATTTTTATCAATAGACGATGATAATAAATACTTCAAAATATATAGTTACAATAGATATTGTTATAATGATATAGTAAAAATTACCTTACAAATTTCTTTAGAAGTTTTCATGCATTGATAAAATTCGGGTGTGTAAACTTGTTCAATTGGAGCTAGTGGTATGTTATTGTCAAATTCTTTGGAAAATGGTCCTACCGTTTTAGAGTTCAAGTGAAATTGTATTTATTATCAACAACTTTGTAAGTTAGGTCGCGCAGGTCTAACAATGATGTAAGAACAATTTTGTACTATTATAAAAATACATACAAAAAATATTAATATCATAACGACCTAAAACATACCAATAATGTAAAAGTATGATTGAAATATTACTTTTTGTTATTATCTAAATAATCAAAAGAAGATTAATTAAACGAAAAAAAAAAAAAAACAAAACAAAACTTAACCTAAATTTGTTTTTCTTTTTTTTTAAACGCATAAAAATCAAATGATTTTTAAATTTATTGATTTATAATCTTTGATGCTTAACTTTGAATGTTATGTATTTAGTCGGACTAATTATTTGAGTAAAGTTTATGTTAAATTTTATATTATATATTTTTTAATATAATTTTTAACATATTCGTAGTATATGTTTAACAATTATGTCAACTATCTAATTGGGATGAGGTTCAAACCTAAGACATTTCTTATAGAAATTAATAAGTAAGTTAAAAATAATAAATAGTTAACGGAATATTCTGTTACTAAAGTTTATACTAACGGAATTTAGGTTATTTAAGGGAAGAAAATAATATAATAGAGGGTAAATAAGGAAAATCATTAAAAAAATACTAAAAACAAAATAATATGAACCATTCATTTTAAGAAACAACTAGTACTCCACCCGTGCGATGCACGGGATAAGAATACATATGTAGACATTAATTAATATCTCTATACAAAGTCGTAATAATTATTGAGAACATAAAAATATGTAAAAGTATTTGAAAAAAAAAATTGTACTATAGAATAATTTTAGACACATCTAATAAATGTAATATATATATATATATATATATATATATATATATATATATATATAGTCAAATAATTATATTTTTAAACATAATTGTACGTACATTGTCACATAATAATTGTAGACAACATCAAACTAAATTTGCCTTTATAACAAATATATACTAATATATAAATTTTACAAATTGCTAAATACTTCTTTATAAACAACATTCATCGTAGATGAAACACACTTTTAATCATCGTTGCAAATAAGCAACTTGAGCCCTCTTTTATATGTAATATTAATTAAAGCCCAAAACAATAAACCATACTAAATCAGGCCAACAAAATAGGCCAAACATATGACAATTATAAAATGATTAGATAAAATATATTCAAAGCCCAAAAATCATTAGCCCAAACCCGAAAACCCAACCTTAAAAACCTAAACAGTCAACAACAACACACAAAGCTGCGCCGCCGGAACCTCTCCATACGAATTCTCCTCTCATCGACGCAACATCTTCTTTGGAGAGTTCACCGGAAACACAACTCTAACCCTAGATCTTACAGTCAATCCTTTCCGATCACTTCTCTGTACTAAACACTCCTCCATTTCACTGAGTATATAGCTTTTCAAAAAAGATTGGAGACATACTCTCCAATCTACTCCACCTCTCTTATTTGTGCTTGTGGAAATTTCAGTCCTTCTTTCCAAAATCCATACTTAACTCTTTCGTTCCTTACATACGGCTATTTCGAGATGTTTTTACCGTTTGCCGACAACCAAAAAACCCTAGATCGCGAAACTTCAAAAATGCGACTCCAGAAAAATATCAAGGTAATGCGTGTCTTTTTTTTCATCCGATTTAAATCTTCTTATATTCTAGTACTGTAAAACTTTTTTAGATCTGTGCGATGGATGTAGTAGTTATGTTTGAGATATTATTTGACAATCCAGTAAACAATTTAAGTGTAGTTCTTCAGATATGAAATCTGAATTTAATATTTAAGGTTTTTATGATTGAAATACGGACAAAAATAGAAGCTGCAATTACAAAAACTATTTAATACTATAATTATTTATTAAAAATGTAAAAGCATATTATCTGTGTAGATTGAACAATGCAATTAATCACAAATTACTACATATATTAACATGTTGTGTATAGTGCAATTTAGTTCGCATGTACTTAGGTTTTGAAAATAGATTTTGTTAATAAAGCAGCTACCAACAACCACTTTCTAAAAATACTTTTGAGACCAAATCTTTTGAAACTTTATAAAAAATTAAGAGCCTAGGAGAGTTGAGTGTATGCTTTGCTTAATTATTTAACTTTACTTGAATTCTCTATTTTTTTTTTTTTTACAGTCCTCTGCAGTGATAATATGATACACTATCTTGGTTGCTTACAGAAATTTCTGAAAGACAAAGAATTGACTCTGCAAAAATGGTAAGATTTCCCTTATTTGCTTCAACTATTTAACATAGATTTAGATTTTATATGTTATTGACTATTTATCCATTACTAACATATAAACACTAAATTTTTGTAATGCAGGTAGGAAAAAAAAAGGAGAAAAATGGCTGGAAAAAAATTACACGGAGTTCATAAGTATTTAATAAGTGAAATTACAATGAAGAACATCAGGTATGCTTTAATATTACCTTTACTCTCATCCTGTCATTTTCTTTTACCATGCATGATAGTTGAGGCTTTCAATTTTTCCATTACTGTTGAATGTGTGGGGTAGAGAGCATTTATTTCTGTCCTTAAATGCTATGTATATATAGATAGGAAATTTTAGACATCAAGAGAAGTCACTATCAGACAATAGTGCACATTAGTCAAATCTTACCATCAACAATTAATGCTTGATAAGAGGCATAGGTGTATAGCTGTTCTATATTGGTACATGTATTAATTGCTTACTATGCATCATCTATGTGGCTGTTATAGTTTATTGTGTTTCTTTTTGTGCTACACTATAGGCAAATACTAATAGTTTAATTAGAGGTAAATGATGACACAGGAGTCTGATACCATTTTTTTTTTTTTGCAGACACAAATTTCATTTGATTAAAATGGAGGCAACTGATCATATATTTGTGTTTTCTAAAAACAAACATATATATCTAAATTATCTGTGTTTTTGTTCCTTTAGAAATAATTTAATTCTCTAAAATTCGAATTTAAAATTTGACATTCAAAATGATTTCTAATGCAAATGCAAATTTCATTGTCCTATATTAATACTAAGACTAATTGACTGCCATTTCAAAATAGTCAAACCTTACCATCACAAATTAATGATTGATAGACACCATAGGTATATATCAAAAATACATGTACACATGTGTCTTTGTAATTGTTAAACGTGTATTTTATGCTACAATTTGTATATGCTACTTGTATATTTTTTTTCATTATGATAGAGCAAGTCACATGTTGTAGTATTCTAGGAAATACTAACATCCCAAAATAGAGCCAACTGTTAAAAACAGATTACTTCATTAATTTACTTTTTTATGAATCTGTTTTTTTTTTTAAAAAAAAAAAATTAATTTGTGTCCTTAACAAATCTGATTTCTTTTCTTTGAAAACAATCTTTATATATTTATATTTCAAAGATTCTATTTTTGTTTTGTTTGTCTTTCGCTATTAATTTATTTGTTCCAGGTCTGTTTTGTAAATATTTTTTTGTTTTTACTTTTTTCTTTAAGTTGAGTAATGCTGAAAGTTGAATTATTTGTTATGATTTCTAATTTGATTATGAAGATATGAAATAATCTGCTATCTTGTTTGACAAACATTTTGTTTTAAACGAATGATCATGAAAATTGGTTTACATTTTTTTTTTTCCTTAACAGTTAAAGCATGTTACCAAAAACTGTAAGCACAAAATTTTAAAATGGTCAGATTTCCAGGTTTTGTTTTTTTTTTTTTTTTTTACAAATTTTTCAAGTATGCTACACATTACTTGCCATTTTTTATATATATAATTCTTTATACACACCAGTTAAATTCTATCTATATCTCAACTATGTGTCTGAATGTTATGCACTGCGTAATTCAATCTATAAATGATATTTCTCATCTTTTCTTCACTCTTATCACATTATGCAACTGCAGGAAGAGTTGTTAATAGTTGGACACATACAGTTAGCATATGGTGCTTGGATCCTACTGTTGTCTTCAGAGAAATTGCTTATCGTTCTCCATCTGATATTCCTAACATCATGGTATACATACGTAATGCCTGCCTAACTGGAAGTTTTGGTGGTGATACTTAAATATTTCCACATTTAAAAAAATTGCTTTGTTATCACAATTCATTCATTCTCGGGCATAGCTGCGGTTTCAATTATTTGAAGGAGAATCTTGGTGGTGATTCTTAAATATTTCCAAATTAAAAAAAAAAAAAAAAAAAAAACCAGCTTTGTTCGGGTTCAATTATTTGAAGGAAACTCGCATATAGTGGTATATAGTTCGAAAGTATTAACATAGAATGATTTTTGCAAGTACTTGGCAATAGATTTTTTTCCTAGGAATTTAGGTTTATAAAGAGATGTTGAGCACAGAAATAACTATGAAGTAGCAAACTATGATGCATAAAATAACTCCAACTTAGCATAAGCTCCAGAAAATAAAGCATGAAAATGAAGTATAGTGTACTAAATTCTAAGGAAAAAAGAATTTATTGCCATTTACATACATAAATTAGTACTGCTTTGCTTAGATAATTAGAATCTGGTGAAACTGATATTATTACATACAACCATTATAAACCAATGACCATTCTGATGCATTTATAAATTGTATTTCATATAATTTGAGCCTACTATAATCACACTTTGCTCTTGATGATTTCAGGTTTCAATGGTGATGAGAACAACCAAGGGTGTATACATAATTACATATTAAGCAGTCTTCCCCAATCACCCCTCTGGATCAACCCCTTTCCCAAATCAAAAGAAAAATATAAATAAATATTTACCTTAGTTTATTGCTATTTCCTTTATGCTTGAATGTAAAAGTGGAGAGGTAAATGTGAGGTTTCTCTCCAGGAGATGTGGTATTTATAGGTAGTTTCCCTCCAAAATGTTGATTTAAAATATATAATTATTACTTTTTGGCAACTTGCTTCACATAACGTGTAGAAGTGAATAACACATGGGAAATTGAGAGTTATTAATTAGCATTGAAAAATGAGCCTACAACGCCACACGTTATGTCAAATCAAATATGGATTCAGAACATCAAATAATAATATTAAATATAATAAAATCACATTGTTCCTGTTGTGAAGCCAAAAAGGAATTAAAAAAATAAAATGATGTACTTTTCACAAACACCAAAACGTCGTCGTCAGTGATGGGCGGGAAAATGCTGGATTTTCATTGGCTGAATCCCTCTTGCTTTTATATGTATATAGATAGATATAGATACTACTGACATTTTTTTGTTCCAGGGCCTAACATCATTGTCTCTTATTATAATTGTGTATATATATAATTGTAGATGTAGAAATTGTCTTGATTTTTTGTTCTTCTATTTTTAAAACCTTTATTCCCATTATATGAACATACATAACCAAATAGCAATATTTGGTAATCATTCCAATTCCAGCATACAACCAAACATGCAAAATACTTGCGCCAAAACCCATTACCATTACCAAGTATTTGTTTCCCATTCTGACTCCGATTCCAATGTACAAACCAAACACACCCAAAATATTTTTACCAAAAATCATTATCATTACCAAGTATTTTATTCGCATTCCCATTCCGATTCTCTTGTGCGAACCAAATACACCATTATTTTACACAAATTTAAAAAGTTCAAATTCCATTGAAAAACCATTATTCTCTCATAAACTAAACAATATCAAATGTTTTCCCCTAAATTTTAAGAATTTCAATTCCAAAGAATTCATCATTTTCTATTCAACCAAACATGCACCCTAATATAGTGGCCAAAGCAGTCGTCTGTTTCAGTTTTCATACGCAATGCCATCTATTGTAACATATTAAAACGCAAGCTATTTTTTTTTTTTTTTTTGGTGTAAACCACATATTGTGGTCCGGGTCTTTCTCTGTCCGTTTAACAATCCAGGTCCATCCGGTTCGCTCCGGGAGGATTAAAACGCAAGCTATGAAAACTCCATTGCGTTTATATGTATTAGGACTATTAGGACTCTATTATCCATATTAAACTAGGACTATTAGGACTCTATTATCCATATTAGACTAGGACTATATTATTCGTGTTAGACTAGGATTCTATCTAGCATCTCTATATATTCGCTCCCAGTACTCTCAGACATTATTATTGAATACAACACAATTATATTCTCATCTGGTATCAGTTAGCCAGGGTTTTCTTTTCCAACATCCATGTTCCTCACTTCGTAACAGTAGCCGATGGCATCAAACCAAGATACATCGTATCAGAAGCGGTCCGGTCAACGACGTGACGTTGATGATCCGTGTCAAATTTGTAACGGTTTCGGCCACACGGGAGCCAATTGTGTTTGGCGTTATGATGATCCGTGTCAAATTTGTGACCGTTTTGGTCACACGGGAGCCAATTGTTTTTGGCGCTATGATGATCCGTGTCAAATTTGTGACCGTTTTGGTCACACGGGAGCCAACTGTTTTCGGCGTTATTTAGGGGCTCCGGGTTTTCAGGCTAATGTGGTCGTCTCTGGTGATAATGGTGATTCCAACGGTCCTCATCAGTGGTTCCCTGACACTGGTGCTACAAATCATGCAACGCCTGATTCTTCTTTGATAACTTCTGCGACAAGTTATGATGGCCCGGAGACTCTGCGAGTCGGCAATGGTACAGGTTTGCCTATTGTTAATGTTGGTTCTGCTTCGTTAGCCACTAATTCTTTGTCTTTTAAGTTACATGATGTTTTGCATGTCCCTGGTCTCTCTTCTTCTCTATTATCTGTCCAGCGTTTTGCAAAGGACAATAATGTTTTCTTTGAGTTCCACCCTCTTTGTTTCTATGTGAAAGACATTTTGACCAAGAAGGTTCTTTTTAAGGGACATGCGTCTGGGGTCTCTACACATGGCCTGCGTCTTCTGCTTGCCCTGCTGCATTTGTTGCTGCACGGTCCTCTTACGTTTGCCACATGCGGTTGGGGCATCCTCATTCTCGAGTCTTACGTAAAATTCTAGCGTCTTCGTCTGTTGGTACATTTAATTCTAGTGATCTTCCCAATGTCTGTTCCTCTTGTCAATTAGGAAAATCTTCTCGTTTTCCTTTGTCTCGTGTTGAAACTACTAGTACGCATCCTTTGGAATTAATTTATTCAGATATTTGGGGCCCTGCGCCATTACTTTCTGCGTCTGGCTTTAAATATTTTGTGTTGTTTGTGGATGATTACACTCGTTATATGTGGTATTATCCCATGCGTGCTAAATCTGATTTGTATGCTATATTTGATAAGTTTCGGTCACTAGTTGAACGTTCCTTTTCTCGCAAGATTATTTCTTTTCAATCTGATTTAGGGGGAGAATATAAAAAGCTTGGTTCCACTCTTGCGTCCTTAGGTATTCGTCACAGGCAATCATGTGCGTATACTCATGAACAAAATGGCAGGGTAGAACGTAAGCATAGGCATGTTGTTGAAACGGGACTAGCATTAATGGCTCAATCCTCTGTTCCGTCTCGTTTTTGGGATTATGCTTTTGAAATTGTGGTTTATCTAATCAATAAAATGCCCACTCCCGTCTTATCTGATAAATCTCCTCATTATCTTTTGCATCAGGCTCCTCCATCTTATTCATATCTGCGTGTTTTTGGGTGTTTATGCTTTCCAAATCTGCGTCCCTATAATCGCAACAAACTACAGTTTCGGTCATCCCCTTGTGTCTTTCTAGGATATCCTCCATCTTTTCGTGGCTATCGTTGTTTAGACACTAACACTAACAAGGTTTTTATCTGTCGCCATGTGCGATTCGATGAGGCTGTCTTTCCTTTTGTTGCTTCTGTGGATTCGCAGGTTCCAAAACCATGTCCGGAGCCGTGGGGTGTTGCACCAATTGTTTCTGGTGGTGATCCGTCTATTGTCACGGCTCGTGACCCTCCTGCCGCGCCCATAGCCGCTTCTGACCACCACCGCCAGCAGCCTGCTACTACCGAGCCCGTGACCGAGTCCGAGCGAACAGTCACGGACCAGCCGGCTCCTCGGCCAAGAGGCCGACCTCGTGGTCGGTCTCGTCACGCGCCCTCACCCGTTCGCTCTCATGGAATGAATACGAGAAGTTCGGGACCACATGATCATGTTGCTTTATCTGCTGCTGCTGTTACTCCTGAACCTACATGTTTTACTCAAGCGGTTAAATTTCCTGAATGGCGGGATGCAATGGATTTGGAATTTAATGCCTTGGTGCACAACAATACATGGAGGCTTGTTCCCTTTAAATCAGGTATGAATGTAGTTAGATGTAAGTGGGTGTTTAGAACCAAGAGAAAGGCTGATGGTTCGATTGAGCGTTACAAGGCTCGGTTAGTTGCCAAGGGATTCAATCAAATTGCCGGCGAGGATTTCTTTGAGACCTTTAGTCCCGTTGTTAAACCGACTACGGTACGTCTTCTTTTATCTTTAGCTATTTCTCGTGGATGGACTATTCGACAGTTGGACATACACAATGCTTTTCTAAATGGCAATCTCGCTGAGACGGTTTATATGCGCCAGCCCCCTGGTTATGAAGACAAAACGATGCCCGGGCACGTTTGTCTCCTTCAACGTTCTTTATATGGGCTTAAGCAAGCTCCCCATGCTTGGTTCACTCGTTTGCACGATTTTCTGGTTTCTGCTGGTTTCTCACCTTCCAAGACGGATGTCTCTCTATTTATATATTCACATGACAATACTCGTTTATATTTTCTGGTTTATGTGGATGATATTTTGGTTATGGGATCTAATCCGGCTCATGTGACTGCTCTTATTGACAAGTTGGCTCTTGAGTTTAAAGTTCGTGATATGGGTGTGCCCTCGTTCTTTCTGGGTATTGAGACCATTCCGTTGTCTGATGGCATGCTTCTGTCTCAACAACGGTACATGAAGGATATTCTAAAACGAGCAGGTATGGTTGATTGCAAGCCCGTGGCTACTCCGGTTTCAACCACGAAGGCCGAGACTGATGCCGTGGTACCATACGCTGATCCCACTCAGTATCGCAACTTTGCAGGTGCTCTGCAATATCTTACGGTAACTCGGCCTGATCTTTCCTATGCAGTCAATCGTTTATGTCAACACATGCACTCTCCCTCTACTGCGGATTGGGCGACTCTCAAGAGGGTGTTACTGTATGTAAATGGGACACTACATCTTGGTCTTAAGATTACGTCTTCTCCTTCTCTAGATATTCATGCATATTCTGATTCGGATTGGGCTGGCAATCCTGATGATCGCAAATCTACTAGTGGTTTTGCTGTATTTTTGGGGACCAATCTTGTCTCATGGGTTTGTCGAAAACAACGTACTGTGGCTCGTTCATCAACTGAGGTTGAATACAAAAGACTGGCTGATATTCTGCAGAGGTTACTTGGCTCGTCTCTCTGATGAAGGAAATCGGGTTTGCGCCACCTTCTGTGCCCAAACTCTGGTGTGACAATCTGGGAGCTACTTATCTGTGTGCTAATCCGGTGTTTCATGCTCGCACCAAGCACATTGAGATCGACTAACACTTTGTTCGTGATAAAGTCGCGAAGAAGGAATTACAAGTCAATTTTATTTCTACCAAAGATCAGATAGCGGATATTTTTACTAAGTCTCTTTCGTCTGTACGTTTTAATTTACTCCGTTGCAAGCTCAATGTTTTGGCTGACCAACCTTGTGCTTGAGGGGGAGTATTAGGACTATTAGGACTCTATTATCCATATTAGACTAGGACTATATTATTCGTGTTAGACTAGGATTCTATCTAGCATCTCTATATATTCGCTCCTAGTACTCTCAGACATTATTATTGAATACAACACAATTATATTCTCATCATATGTCTTTTTCATTCTCGAAGCTTGCTGCATTATTTATATACCCAGTCCATAAAAATAAAGTAAAATAATGTGGTCATTAATTTTTTTTTAAAAAAATAACTAGTATTTTCACCCGTGCGATGCACGG